CCCCTATGGGGGTATATATCCCCCCTGAATTCCCCCCCGCCCAGTTTTGTGAACTAGTTACATGCCAATCTAGTGATTGTTTGGAAATTTGAATTGAAATTGAAACATTAATACACACTTTAAAAGCATATACAGTATATGATAAGATATGTGTATATGAAAAAGTATAATAGATTTGAAAAGTATGTACATAGACTAGCTTCCTTATGCAGCTGTTGTTTTTTATGACAATCTCAGTGCATTCATTTTGGTGATGTTGGCCAACCTAATAATAAAAGTCAAAATGAACTCTTCCTGACAGCTAGTGATGAGCTGGGAGCTGGGGGGAAAGGCTTCAGGACCAGATTGTATTTACATTCACACCTAATTTACCTAGGTATCCAGCAAACAGAGCTGTGTTGCCCAAGTGATAGATTTTGGTTGGGGTTGGGTTACAAATCACTTGAATGCGGGGGGGGGGTGGGGGGGGGGGGAATGAAATGTTGTTGTTCTTATTGTATAAGTAAAGGGCAGTAGAACTGTAATTAACCTGTACTGAGTGAGAGCATCAAGAGAGAGGGTGGGGACAGGTGTGGACAGGTGTTTTGCTTGATGGTCATTATTGCCTGGCAAGCTAGAATGCTAAAGAGTCACACCCTAGTTTGCTGTGCAATCATACACTAGATAGGCAAGCCTTCATATTTTCTTCTCTGTCTTGATATGACAGGTCCTTTGCAAATTATGACACCATGATAATATGGGGGCATTATGCTACACCTATGGCCTTTTGAGCTAATCAGTTGCAGGGAAGAGTCCTGAAAAAATGACCGGCTTTAATGTTCCTGGTTCTGAAATGGCAGATGTTGGCTTTTACAGAAGGGTCAGACTGCCATGGAAATCAAACCAAGAAATGTGTGCTCTTTGGAGTTGCTAAGGGTGAAAGGAACTCTATAATAAACAGGTCATCTCCTGAAGCCAGAGCTGGATTTACGCACAAGCTAAGTAAGCTAAAGCTTAGGTCCTCAGATGATGAGGGGCTTCTAAATACAAAAAATTACTAAATTTCATTTTTTTATACTGCTATAAGGCCTCTTAAACTTGACATAACTTAGAGCCTCAGCATGTCTTAATCCAGCCCTGGTTGGAGCCACTTTCTCCCCAGATTCTCAGGTCAAGACCATTTCCTAGTTAAGGGTCCTGAAATTCATAAGAATTACTTATGAAAGAGCCAATAGAAAACATGTTTGGAAAGCAGGTAGGTCTACCATATGTTTATCTCTGGCATCTGGATCGGAGAGTATGAGGCAGGCAAGGACCCAAAATCCATGAGATATTCAGAGCTGTTTCTGGCTATCCACATTGATTGTCTTTTTCCCTACCTCTTCGAGCTCACTAATTCCTCTTTCAACATGGTTTGCAGGGCTTACAAAGTTATAAACAGCTTCCTGCTGTTACTTGTGACAACCAAATGCTTCCCATGTAACTTCCTATTCCCTAACTTATACCATTCTTCTTTGGTTGCCATGCCTCTAGTATCCAGATGACTATTTTTGTTTATAATTCTTTGAAGACTCCTCTGTATATATTGGTGGGGTTCTATAAGTACTCAAATAAATATATGGTGATAGACCCTATAAGTGCCAAAATAGATTTTTCTTTCTGAAACTGAATTTTCTGCAAATTGGTTTTTCAGGGTACTTTGTCTCCTCTCCCCCCACCCCCATACATATGTTCAGTGACAACATAGGAGTGAGGAAGGGGGAAAAGAGAGCAACTGAAACCCACAATATTTCCATTTTCAGTTTAGAAAAGAACAAAGCCAAAATTAGTTTTTGGACAAAATGCCCCCCAAACCTGAAGAAGTGGTAAAGTTTTTGTAAAACCTTTTGAGAAAACCTAAAGGTTTTGTTGTTTTAAATTTTTTTAAAATGTTGCCATTTTCCAATCAGATCTTGTTAAAATACTCAAATTCACTTGAAGACTTTTCTCAGTGGCATATTCACTGAAGCAACTCAAAGAAATCTCTGAAGAATACAAGACAGAAACAAATAAAGGAAAACAGGATTGGAAGGGGGAAAAAAAATCTTGCACAATTTGATTTGGAGATTTGTTGAGTAAACTAAGCTCAAGAATTCTCATGCACCACTTCAAACTATCTTCTTATGTCCTCAAACACATAAAGGATAAAATATAACAAAATACTGCTCATGCATGTTTACTTATTTGAAAATGTTCTCCTTATAAAAAAGTAATGATACCCTTTCATTGACATCATCCAAGTGATAATATCCTTTTGTCTATGTCATTGGGGGTAATAATAACCTTTCAACTACTTCAGTGAGCAGCACATTTTTTTTTTGTCATTCTAAATAAGCATAAAGAGATTGCACTTTTCTTAAAAGTAGTGAGGGACAAATATGCTCCTATTTACACCTGCATCAATACAGAATGACTCAGTTGAAGTCCATGGGATTAAATTGGTGTAAATGTGTAGCAAATGAGAACAGAATATGGTCCATATTATTTAAGAGGATACACAAATGCTAGAAGATTCCAGTTATTTTCTTGTTTGTGCTAGGGGTTTTGTTACTATATAGCAGTTTTGTTTTCATAATTCATTAGGGTTCTATATTTAATGCCTGAAATTTGACAAGAGTACATGATTCCATTAATTACCAGAAATAATACAAAGGAACAGCATGACACACTTGGTCTTATCAGCTATGTTGATCACGTAAGTTTAATTGTGCATAGTTTATCATTGAGCACGTTAGCCTTTAGAGGCCACTGCTACGCCTGCAGGCCATTTGCATTACTGCTATGATATTATACAGAAAAACATTGCACTTAGACAGTTATTATTGAGATTTCTACTTTTGTGCATGCCAACAGATGGTTGGCTCAGATTCTTTTTCATATGAGTCAGCAAAGGGGTGTATTGAAGCTGTTCATAATGAAAATTTAAATTTTCTTCTTTTAGATAATTACTTTAATTCCTAACTTAAAATAGCTTTAGTATGCTAAAGATATGTATTCATTAATGTACCCTGACTCGATTGCTTCCTATGATAGTGAATTATCACAAAAGTGAAATACATTGTGATGCCGATCTCTTTATTAAGCTCATTTTTTTAAAAACTGAAGAGGATGGCAAGTTATACAGAATGTTATCTGTGTTTCTGCTTACTGAGCCTGATTTATATAATTTTAGCTTTTAATTTAGTCAGATTAAAAAGATCAAAGAATTTTTCTGACTAATACGGGAAGTGAACTGCATACTAACTTTTTCATTCTACTGGTAAGACTTGTAACCAAACAAAAAGGATAATTGCATTGCAATAGAATGAATCTTAGTAATTGACTTGCAAGATAACTGCACTGATTAGCTATAGTTCCTTTAAGGACATATATACTCACTCAGGGGAGGATGAAAGTTTTGCGGGGCCCAGAGCAGCACAATTTCGCGGAGCCCCCCTTTGGAGAAAAAATAGAAAAAAGGTGTCAAATGCGCAAATTGAAGGCTATTTTCATATTAAATGTGAATTGGGTAAATTTGATAGAAACTTAATTTAGCTGGATAATTTTTATTTTAATTATATTGTAAGTCATTCTTAAACAAAATTCTGCGTTAATAATTAAAAATTTTCATTTGTATTTAAGTCTCCTCTCCCTCTGGCCTCACTCTCTCTTTCTTAGTCCTCCCCATCCTGCCTCTCACTCACGGAGCCCAAACGGCTGTTTGGGCCCCACGCAGCATCCCGGCTGAGCAGCGCAGAACTGAACTGAATGCCATGGTGGGAGGTGAAGGGGGGAGGGATGGTGATGTACATGGCCAAGGGGCAGGACCTGGAGCCTCTGTCACGCCCTGTGCCTCCTACCCTCTGGCCGTGTACATCACCGCCCCACCCCCTTCGCCTCCCGCTGTGGCACTTGGTTGAGTTCTGTGCCACTCAGCCAGGCCGCCCCACGGGAGCAAGCGGCTCAAGCAGTCGTTTGGGCCCCATACGGTGACTCAGCATGGGGCCTATTTCAGTGCGGGGTCCGGGACAGTCGCCCTGCTCACTCTGCCCTATATTCGTCACTGTACTCACTCATAACTGTGAGTTAAAAGTGGACTGCACTGTTGCATCTTGTTACAAGCACTGTTAATGTTGAACATGACAGCAAGTGAAATTCCCATTTTAATTCTATGACAAAAATATTTTAGTTGTAAATCAAATTGTTTGTTTTTCTTTCTTTATTCATTTTAAAAACAACGCATAGTTCTCATATTAAAGCACATTTGCAAGTCTCTGCTGTGTCAAATATTAATTTTGGATTTGTATTCACAGTGGTAACATTCAAGAATATATCAGATTTTCTAGAGCAATGTTTCTCAAGCTTTTTTTTATAAAGTACTCCTTTTAAAAAAAATTGGAAGTACCCACAGTACTTACAGTTTTCAGACACACATTTTTTTTCTACCATTGCAACACATTTGTTTAAACAACTTAATCGTAGCCAGGCGGGCAATGTAATGTTTGAGTGTAAAAAGTACAAAAATAATAAAGTGCTGTAAAACTGTAAAACAAAAATTCCGTTTTCTCCACATTTCAGTTGTGTTGATATACCCCCCCCCCCCCGGCTTCTCCAGCACTGGTTGAGAAACATTGTTCTAGAGGGCCTTTCTACCTTCCTCCAAATGCTTCAATCAGCCTTTTTATTGAGCAGACTATCCCTGCTAAGCTGCAAAGGAAACCGACAATAAAAACAAAAATGGCTGCACATTTCTCCAAGAATACTAACTTTTCCCATTTAAGTTTTAAATGGAAAAGAGATGGAAGAAGAAAAGTCATAGCAGCACCAGTTACACTGCCTGTTAAACCCATCAGTAGAGCAAAATGTGGTATGAACATGGCCATCAGCAAAGTAAACAAGAGGACAAAACCTCTTAAAACTACAATAAACAGATAGGCTCTGTAATCGGAATGATTACTGCAAGATATACAATTATGCAGTATTTCTGTTACTGCAAAAAAGGGCAATGGGTAAGATAGAAGAGCCTTGGCTACGAGGCACAAATTTACCAAGGTTTGCAGGGATGATGGCAGGTTGTCAGTAATAACTTCCTTTGTCTCTTCACCCCATGTCAGGAATGCAGTCAGTGCAAAGGAGGTCTTGAAGAGACAAGCGAAAAAGTGAGTCCAGTTCAACATACAGCTAAATTCCGTTGGGTTTTTCATGTTCCCTTCAAGAGTAGGAAGAAATATTTGTGAAGTATAACTGAAAATGATCACCCCCACTGAGACCAGGAAATCCTCAAACTCAATGGAGAGTCTAAATCTTGTCCAAGACCATAGATGTATTTGTGTCAGACAGTAACTCATCACTATGAAGATGATAACGAAATGGACTAAGGAGCAAAGCAGGCTGAGTTTGGAAACAATATTGAGAGTTTTGATAAATACACAAGGCAGCAATGTTACAAATGCAAGTACAGACCAAGTTTTCTCCGTCACTGGTATATATGGAAAACTATGTGACAGTAAGTTCCCACTACAAACCAGATACAAAACGCATGTCATGATCAGTTCCATCACCTGGGTCACATTGACAAGTATGCCACCTAGTCTGGGAAATAAGTTTTTACAGCAAGCATTAGCAATGTCTTCATATGTGTCTCTCACTCTTATGAGCTGCCCATCTTCATTTTCTTCGTACAAGCAAGCAATTAGAATTTTGCCAGTATAGCAGCAGAACATTGCAGCCAGGATAATAAGAAACAGTCCACTGTATCCACTGTGGAGAAGAGCATATGGCAATCCTAGAACAAAAATTCCCTAGAGAGAGAAAGAGAGAAAAGATAGGACAAAAACCCTGAGGCAAAATGTTTACTAGAAGTAACACTTTCAAATCTGCATCTGTTGAGTATTACCTTTTCTGTGGTGGGAGAATTGTTATAGCAGTCTAAGTAAATAACAATTGAAAAAAAGTGTTTATTTAAGTTAAATGAAGTTATCTGACAAAAAAAAAAACCCAAAACAAAAAAACAAAAATCTGCTCTCCCTGACACACATGTACAGATAAGCTAAGAGAAAATGCAAGAAAATGGTAGAGACAAGTTCCTTCTTAATATTTAATGCTGATGTGATTAGAAGCATATTTTAAAAGGCTCATAGGCAGTTATTCAGTCAACATGCATATTAATGGAGCAGATTCAACAATAAAATCAAACAGCTGTAGCAGCCGTTGTATAAGTTTCCTACAAATATTAAAATAGTATCTTAGGCAAATCCAATAATGACACACTGCATTGGTTTAAAGATTATACAGGGGCATAGTTAACAGTCATCTGGAAATAAAATGCCATTAGGCATTTGAATGGGTTGCTTCCCCAGCAATTTGAAACCTTATGGATTCTTTGCTGTTGTATTCATTTCTGACATGAACTCTTTTCTCGTAGCCGAAAGCAAGAAGGTTTGGCCTTTATTACATATCTAAATATGTATCAGGGGTATACACATACTTTCCCCCCAAACATTTTCTCAGAGGAATTGGATCATATTTGTTTAATCCAATGCAAAGCCCCACACTTCAGTTTCATGAAATATCATGTTCATAGTCTTTTACGAATATGTTTTTATTGCTTTTAATTCAGATCAATATGAAGCTATTAAATTCAGGAGCAATAGGTATGCTTAAAAAGATTCAATTTAAGCTAAATGGCATCCCTGGCATTTGCCTCTTTTTTTTTTCATGTGACAAAGCTGAAGATATACAATGCACATTTGTCACACTCTCATCAATGCTTTGTGTTCTTGGTGATCATTAAAATAAAATGGAAAGGAAGCAAATTAATGCTAAAGTCATTATATTATAATATTATGTCTTACAGCTTTATACGTGAAAATAAAATTTAAGTATTAACACATTTTCCTGGGCATGTTGGTCCAAATCATGAGATCCTTGTTGAGAGTCACATGCCATCAATGAAGCTACATGCAAGATAATCAGATTAAATCTCTTGTCTTGCAAACACTTAAACATGTGTAGTTTCATTGTGTACAATTAATCATATATGTAAATGTTTTATAACCAGGGCCTTCATTTGTGCTCAGCATGAGTAAAAGTGGCAGAATACGTCTCTCTTTATTTACAGAGGGCCTAAGTCTGTCACCCTTATTCAATTTGTGTGGTGGTTTACTCAAACCATGTCTACACTGCAGAGTTGATGGAAACTGCCACAGTCAATCTTTCAGGCTTCGAATTAGCGGGTCTAGAGAAGACCCGCTGATTTGAACTGAAAGGGTGCTCCCATCAACGCTGGTAGTCCTACTCCTATGAGGAGTAAAGGAAGCCAAAGGGAGAGTGTGCTCCCGTCAACCTCCCACATTATGGACTGTGCCAAAATTCGATTTAAGACACTTCAACTCCGGCTACACAATTAATGTAGCTGGAGTCAGGTATCTTAATTTGAATTTATCCCCTTGTGTAGACCTAGTCTCAGTGATTATGTTCAGAGTAAGGTATTACTCAAAATGAGTAAGGGTCGTGTATGTGTACCTTTGCACCCAGATTCTTAAAGGTGCTTAAGTGCCAACTCCTCTTGGAATGAATGGGAGTTAAGCACCAATGTATCTTTTGAAGATCAGGGCTTTCATATAGGTACTTACTCAGGTGAACTACATGATTTGAGGTTATAGGTAAGCAGAGTACAACTTGTAGTTACTGTAAAGGGGGAAAATTAGAAAAGAGAAGATACGTACAGACCTAGATAAGGGGTTCAGGGAGAAGAGAAAGTAGTGGTAAACCACTGAATAATAAACAGTGAGGTTTTTTGCCTCCCAGCTATAAACTAACATACATTCTAAGTCAATGACTGCAAGAGACAGCCAACAAGGGAGAAAGATGGGCAGCCAACAAATTACAATGAGATCTTTGCACTAAGGGCTTGTCTAGACTGCCTCTTTCCTACTTTGTAACTTTCTCACTCAGGGGTGTGGAACCCCCCAAGTGTAGCAAGTTACAGTGACATAAAGTGCCAGTGTAAACAGGCTCTCTGTGCTGTCAGCTGAGGTGGTTTACCTACAGCACTGGGAGAGCTCTCTCCCATCACTGGTGCCATGATTACATTGCTGCATTAAAGTGCTGCTGCAGCTGTGCTTTAAATTTACAAGTATAGACAATGCCTAAATTACTAAGCAAGTCAGTACACTCATCGTGTGCACCAGTGATACTACTTGTTTTATTTGACTTTCTTGTAGGTCCAGAGACCTTTAAAATACATTTGGATTAAGACTGCAGGATTACTCTTAAGTGCATCCTTAACTGTACCCATGCTTTAAGTGTATATATGCATTACATCTCTTATTATGCTCAGACTATTGATTATACTTCGTTACTTGGAGTGTGATTGTGGTTTTCCCCTATTAAATGCATTTGCAGGAGTGTTTTAAGTCACTGGGTGACCCATTTTATTGGGTAACTGTAATGTTTGATAACCTGTTTGTCCTACTCTTCAAGTCACCAGGACTTTTCAAAGCCAGATAGTAACTATAGTCAGTGCCTTAATTCAGTTCTATTCAAGGTCTTATACAGTCCTTATTTCCATAGTACCTGAGCAACTTCTAAAACACATTAAGCAACACAATTAGTAACCATTATGTATATTTAATACATACTCTATGGACAGGTCCAAAACTTCTTCCCATTTCTGGTTACTAGTCATCATTATTGGACAGACTACAAATCTGGCTATACACAGAGTATAAAAGGTGCATGTGCAACAACATCATCTTTAGAGTTCATGTACCTTTCTGGTCCATGTGTTTTACTAAGTACTGCAGGTCAGATACATCCCCAAAGAACAATTTTCCTTGACTATGAAAGCAATCTTTAGAAGAAACTGAGTAGAAGAATCTAGACAGGAATGCACTTTTAGTATCAGCATGTGGAGAATGCTTTTTCCTCAGTTTCTTCACAGTATATAGAAATATTATCTCTTTTCTTCTGCATTCAGAGGTGTTTTTTTAACTATGTAACCCTAATGTGTAGTTGGGAATTCTAAGAATCTCTGCTAACCCAAAAGGGTGACCATATAATTAAGCCACAGATAGATGTCAGCACAAGCCTTCTCCACACAATGCCTTTTCCCCTGCTGAATTTACTCCATTAACATATATATAGCTATTTTCATCCCAGACTAAAGCATAAGTCTTCAAGACTACATTATCACACCCCACAGCCATTGACATCTCACCCTACAGGTATCTGTTGCCCCTTACTTAACTGTTTGTTTAATTAGAACATGGCATAACTAACTTCTAAGATCCCCTTGCTATTTACTTACATCAAATAGTTTTTCTTTAGTTGGACACACTTGTGACCAAGGCCATATTTTTCTGAACTGAGGCCTAATTACTCAGTCTTCTGAACTCAGGCCTAATTACTCTTTGAAAAAGCTGGCAGAACAGTGATACAGAAATAATCTCAGGATTTGGATAGTCTGCTCTTTCTTAAAATAAACCACAAAAGGTTGCCAGTTTCAGTGTACCTTGGAAGTTAGTTTGGAGTTGACAAATGTAAGTTTAGACTGTACATTTCCATGGTAAAACAAGTTTTTCTCTCTTATATTCAGGCCTGCTGACAAGGAGGGGCAAAGGGGGGAGTCGTGGTCTGTGAGGAGCCGCTTGCCCACCAGCTAGGAGAGCTGCAAGGAGCCATCGGAGAAAGCTGGCCAGCCCAGCCATTCCCTACTGTGAGGAACCGATGGGCAGCCCAACTCTGGCTCTCCCCCTTCCCTGTGAGGAGCCTCCAGTCTTGAGAGCTGGGCAGTCTCCCCATGAGAAGCTACTGGCCACAGGGCTAGGTATCTCCCCAGTGCAGAACTGCCAACCAGGGGTTCTAGTCATCACCCCTGGGACAAGCCACTGGCTGGAGCGTAGGGCAGTACAGCCCTGCCCGCCCCCCCCCCTCGGGAGGAGTCGCCAGGGCAGCGTACTCCCAACCTCCTGAGAGGAGCTGCTATGGGTTACCCTGGTAAGCTCCCTCCCACCTCCCATCCCCTGCCTTGAGTCCCTACCCCCTGCCCTGACTCCTGAATCCCCTCACACTCATAACCCCCTGCCCTGAAGGATCTGAGCAACTCCTGGTAAATATTCTAGTATTTATATAAAAATACAGATAAGTGCTTATTTGAACCAAAGCTATGCTTACAAATAGAGTAATTCCCTTAAATTAGAACAGAGCCATTTGCAGTGGTACTTTATTTGTTTTCTTAGACTCTTCAACAACCTATTTGAATGTATGACTTTTGCATCACCCTCATAGAAAGACTCATGATTGTTTTTTATTTGGGTGCGTCTACACAGCACCCTTAACTCGAAATAAGCTACGAAATTTGCGGTACGCAAATTGCATAATTTATTTCAAGTGTGTTATGAAATAACTTATTTCATAATTTGATGCTGTCTACACAGTGCCAGATTTCAAAATAAACTGCTAATCTGAAATGTCCCTTAATGCTCGTAGAACAGGACATTAATCCCTTAATCCTCATAGAGACGTCGGAATAGCACACCTGTTATTTCGAAAGATATTTTGAAATAACGAGCATGTTGACAAGACGCAGAATAGCTATTTCAGGATACCAGAAGTATCCTGAAATAGCTCCACAGTGTAGACGTACCCTTTTAGTTTTAATTTTAAACTACAACAGCATCAGAGAGTACAGCGTTCCTGTTTCTTACTTTATTTTTAACAAGGATGAAAGCTGCCCTGCAACACTGGGTCTCCAAAATGATATCTAAATAAAGAATCTCAGAGCTCTAGCCATTTTAATTTTTTCTTTACAGAACTAAATTTAAGAATACATTTTCTATCCTGGTATTTCAAGAATTTAGTTCTTATCCAAGTTCTTTCTCTGTTTTAAGGACCTGTTAAGCCTGCACTTTCTGACCTGTATGAGCAAAAACTATGCTCACTGGAAATAATTGCAGAATGAGAATTTTTATGTGGGCT